TCAATGTGTGTGTCCACAGAAACCCCACAGAGGAGGCTCCAGGATTGAGGATCAGTTGTGACAGTGCCAGAGGCAAAGCTGGCAGAGCTCTGGGGAAACGTGCCCAGAGAGGGCAGGGGGGTGGCAGGGGCACAGAATTCCAGGGTTGCAGGCACTGGAAAATCCCTCCCAGCCCATCCAGCCCAAGCTGTGCCTGATCCCCTCCTTGTCCCCAGCCCAGAGCTCTGGGTGCCACATCCAGGTGACACCTCCAGGGATGGGCACTGCAAAGCTCCCTGGGCAGCCCCTGCCAAGGCCTGAGCACCCTTTCCATGGAGAAATTCCTGCTGCTGTTGGACCCGAGGGCAGTGCCCCCAGCCCCAGGGGAATCTGATCCCATTGTGGATGTGAGACCTTGGGCAGGAATTGTTCCCTGGCAGGGTGGGCAGGGCTGGCACAGGGTGCCCAGAGCAGCTGTGGCTGCCCCTGGATCCCTGGCAGTGCCCAAGGCCAGGCTGGACATTCCTGGCACACTGGGAGGTGTCCCTGCCATGGCAGGGGTGACAGCACAGAGGGGCTGAGCAGAGGTTCCCGATGTCTGTAAGGATGGGGGGACAGGAGGGGGTGCTGCAGGTGTCCCCCCTCCTGTCCCTGCTCCTCTCTGAGCCTCAGGGGTCCCTGATCCCCCCCAGCTCCACTCCCCCAAGCCCAGCTCTGGTGTCCCAGCCAAGGCAAGTCCCAGAGGCAGGGATGCAGAGATGGATGTCCCAGGAGACAGAACTGGGATCCCAAAGCTCCCAGAAAAGGGATCCCTCAAAGAGCCCTGGGAGTGCCCCGTGCTCCCTACACGGAGCTTTCACCAATGGCAGCAAGAATCCCCCAAAATGAGGCAGAGCCCAGATCTCCCCAGCAGCACTGAACCCTCTGCTGCTATTTCAGGCACCATCAGCAACTCAACATCAAAAAGCTGATGCTGCCAGAAAATAACCTTCATTTCAGTGATCAAAACCAGCTTCAGGAAAAAAAGACACTTCAAGAAAGGCATGGAGGAAAAAACCTGGAGAATTTACCCCAATTTCCTGAAAGAATGAGCTCAGGAAGAAGCCTGCAATGCCTTAGTTAGGAGGGAGAAAGGTACCTGGAGTTTGTGTCACTGACTAAACAGAGCAGCCTGAACTGAAGGTCTCTTGAATAATGAGAAATAAAATATATGTTATAAAATTAAATGTATTAGCCTATAAAATAAATTGCATTAGGAGAAATGTGAGGAAAAAGAAGAAAATTAAAATAGAAATTATATAGAAAAAATATATAAAAAATAAATAAAAAGTAGAATTAAATAGAAAAATAAGCCAGGCAGAAAAATTAGGCTTAATTTGGAAATGTGGAAAAGAAGTCAGGATGAAAATGTACCACAACATGATAAGAGTGAGAACAACTGAAATTGGAGAGGCAAAATTCCAGAATCCTAATCCACTGTGGAGCAGAATCCCTGCAGAAGTGGCCCCTGCACAGGAGCTGCAATGGACCTGGCAAGGTGGGGTGGGGAGGACACCACAGGGACACAACAATTGTGTTTAAAATGGGCTGAAACCTCCTGGCTGTGCCCAGGTGTGCTCAGGTGAGCTGAGCCAAGTGATCCCAAAGAGAGAGGAATGAAAGGTTTGGAAATCAACTCAAAATGAGAGAGAACAGCCCAGGCTGTGCCAAGGGTAAATTAAAACCCCTCCCAACCCCACCAAGGTTTGTCTGGCAGTTTAAAAAGTGGGTTTGTTGTCAAAGTGGGGAACTTCCACATGGAGAATTAGCAGGGAAAATGGAAATGATAAAAAGCAGGATGTAATTAAACCCTTTCCAAGGGCAATCCTGGTGCCAGGATGAGAGGGAACAGCCTGAGGCTGTGCCAGGCTGGACAGCAGGAGGAATTCCTGCATGGAAAGGGTGCTCAGGCCTTGGAGGGGTGCCAGGAAAGGCTGGATGTGGCACTCAGAGCTCTGGGCTGGGGACAAGGAGGGGATCAGTGGCAGGGTGGAGTGGATGGGCTGGGAGGGATCTTCCAGCCTCAGAGATCCTGAGATCCCTGCCTTGCTCAGCTCCACAAGGAGAGCACATCCCAAGAAACTGCAGAGCCAGGGAAAGGCCCCACTGAAGCTGTCCCAGCCCATCCCATGGGCACAGGGACACTCCCAGGACATGGAACTGTCCCCAGCAAGGACAGAGCCCAAGGTGCCACCATTCCCACAGAGCATGGGATGAGAAAACACGAAAAACACAACAGCCAGCAATCCCAGAGAGCCTCCAGCCTGCTCGGGGCAGGGAGCTGGGCTGGGATCCTTCTGGACAACGACATTTGGGGGGGAAGTGGGTCAGTGACCTGGGAGATGTGGGAAGGAAAGGGGGAAACCAAAGCAGCACAGAATAAAGCTCAGAAGAAACCAAGAAACAGCTGAGGCTGAGACATCAGGAGCTGCTCCTCCCCAGAGGGGATCAGGGCCATCAGGAGCTGCTCCTCCCCAGAGGGGATCAGGGCCATCAGGAGCTGCTCCTCCCCAGAGGGGATCAGGGCCATCAGGAGCTGCTCCTGCCCCTCCCCAGAGCAGATCAGGGACACCAGGAGCTGCTCCTCCCCAGAGGGGATCAGGGACATCAGGAGGTTGCTCCTGCCCCTCCCCAGAGCAGATGGCTCAGGCAGGCACATCCTGGCACGTTCCTCCCTCCCTGGGCACCCAGCAGCCTTGGATGGACGTGCCTGCAGGAGCAGAGAGGGCTGAGGGTGTTTCATACCCACCACATCCTCGGGGACACTGAGAGCAGAATTGGGCTCTGCTTCTCCATCTGGCACTGCTCATTCCAGTGGCTGCCCTGGGTGCCTGTCCTGGAAGGGGAAGGAGCAGCTGTGTGGGGAAGGGGCAGCTGTGTGGGGAAGGAGAAGCTGTTTGCAATTCCCCATCTTGCTCAGGATTTTACAGAACACTCTTGGAGCTGCAGTTTTATCTCCAGGCTGAGGAATCCTGCTCTGTGTCCTCGTCCAGCAGGATTTGGGGCTGGGATTGTGGGTCAGATCCCACAGCCCACAGACCCCAGAACTGCTGGACACGGGTGAGGAACCTGCTCAGAGGGGAAAGGAACTGAGCCCAGGAGTCAGCAGGGGGACAGAAGGGACAGGGCTGGGGGCAGCCTGGGACAGTGGCAGGTGTCCCATGGCACTGGATGGGCCCTGAGGTCCCTTTCCCCTCAAACCATCTGGGATTCTACCTCAGAAGCTGGAATGACACAGAGAGAAGGTGCAGACAGCCTCAGGGGAAGCACAAGATTCACAGGAGACTCCAACATCCTCAAAGCAGGGAAATGGTGGCAACTGGGACATTCCCACTGGAAAATCAGTCAGGTTCTCCATTTAAAGAAGTGCCCAAGAGCTCAAACTAAAGAAATGGCCTTGGGGAGCCTCCTCAGTCCTGGGCTGGGATCAACAGGAGCTGGAACATGGAACAAAACATCCCTGGAGGTGGCACTGAAAGTGGGGATGGGGCACAGCTTGGACTGGATGGGCTCAGAGGGATCGTCCCACCTTAATGACTCTGGAATTCTGGGATTTACAGCTCCAGGTACAGATGACAGAATCAGCAAAAACAAAGCCTCCAGAGGTGAACACAACAAAGGCAGGAGGGGAAGCAGCCCCTAAAGGCTGGGATTCCTCAGCAGTACTCACATCTCAGCTTGTCCAGGATCTTCCCCCCACACATGGTGGCCAGCATGGCTTTCACTGAGAACACGGTCAGCTTCCCATGGCCCTCACTGCAGGGAGAAGAGAATGGGTGAGAACCCCTGGGAATTCCACAGGGAATGGAAACAAAACCCCCCAGTGCTGGGGGAACCAGGAATAGTGGGAATAACAACAATAATCACCTCCAGTCACTGCTACCAGCATTTCATAACTGAACTAAATGTGCTGCACAGGGAATTGGGACTGGCATGGCAAACAGAGAGATGGGGAAAGCACAGGATGAGTGTGGGGAGAAAACCAGAATTGTCCTGAATGGAATCTCTGAGAGCTGGAGAGGGGATTTGGACAAGGGCCTGGAGGGACAGGGAATGGTTTGGGTTGGAAGGGACCCAAATCCCCCCCAGTGCCACCCCTGCCATGGCAGGGACACCTCCCAGTGTGCCAGGAATGTCCAGCCTGGCCTTGGGCACTGCCAGGGATCCAGGGGCAGCCAGGATTCTGGGATTATACTTGCCAGGGGAATGTTAAAGGTTCTGATGCTGCCAGCAGCAGCTCAGGGAGAACTCTGTGCATCCCAGCAGCCCAGGGGTGCAATCCCAGCAGCCCAGGGATGAAATCCCAGCAGCCCAGGGGTGCAATCCCAAAAGCCCAGGGGTGCAATCCCAGCAGCACCCAGCCAGCCCAAGGATGGAATTCCAGCATGGATGGAATTGCAGCTCTGTTATGAAGCCCCTGCCTGCCGTGCTGCTGAGTTCCTGGAGAGGGAGCCTCGGGCCTGCTCTGCTCTCCCACATCACAGCTCCCGGCACGGGGAGGCACAGAGCAGCTGCTGCACCGTGCTGGGATCCCGGGGCTGGGCTGGGCTGGGATCCCGGGGCTGGGCTGGG